CGCCGGTGAGTTTGAGTTTAATTACTTGCTGCTTTTGTCTATTTTACGAGCATTTCGATTTTTGTTGGGGTGAGCTTGGGAGTTAGGTACGATTTGGTTTATCAATCTTGTGCTTATTGTTGATCCTCAAATTTAATGGGACTCCCACGTCAACATTTGTTAAACTCCTCTTTCTGTACATATATAAACCACCTATGGATTATATTTGTTAAATTCCTCTTTCTGGCATATCTCCCAGTGGCAAAGGGGAGGGCGGATAGGGTTCAGCGCGGCAGTGTGCAGAACTCGATTCCCCGCAAGGTGGAATTGACTTTATTGCAAGCGGGAGTTACCATATGGGTTAACAGCCTTGGCCTATCCATGTGTTCTCCACCCTAGCTCTTGGGAGGCACATCCTGCGATTTACCTCCTCCACGATAGCTTAGGGTAGGGTCAGTGGGGACCCTTAAGGTTGGGGTTCAACCTTTTTTTTTTATTTTTTTTTATAAACCACCTACACACTCGAACAAATGTGTTAAGAGTTACAGGCGATTTTTATCAGTTTGGTTCACCGAATTTTTTCAAAAATCAAACCCTGGTCCTGATATAGTGACCAACAGGATGACAGTCCTACTCACCATCTGGGAGTAGAATTATGAATTTATTTATAGTTCGCACAGAAATTATGCTACGTAAATGAGCGCAGCACTGGATAGATCTATGATGCTGTGAGTTGTACACTTTTCTTCATGCCATCTTGCTAAGGGGTATTGGGGTTCTTTGATGATGATGCTACTTTTTGAATTCAGCATTAAATTATTATTTACTTTATCTAAATTGGTCGCTACTTATATCTTAATTATAAAGGGTCTACTCCATGCCAACAATTCTTGTAGAAAATGTTGGAACTTAAAAATATGATGATTAAGCAGTGGTATAAGGTAAAGAAGTAGGAATAGAATAGAAAAGAACCTGAAATCTTTAATATCTTCAAATAGAACAAAAGAAGTTGAAAAGGCATATTGACAAATGAAACAAGGTGCTTGTGTTGTGAGACAGTGACGGCAAGGGATGAAACGTTTCTTGGCTTGAGCCTCGATATTGAACAGAACAGTTCAATTACAAGTTGTCTGAAAATTTTTAGCTCAACTGAGACTTTAAATGCCGAGGACAAATTCTTTTGTGATAAATGCTACAAGTAGGTAGCATTTTCATTTTACTTGGATGGCAATGTTTACTTTTTAGACTGCCTGTAATTTCTGGTTATTGAATGGGCTAGTCTCACATATAAGGAAGAGGCAAGCTACTGATAATTGCTTCTATTCAGAGTCAGGCTATGTGGCTGATAGGATTTAAATCATCATAAATTA